TGGGACAGTTAGGTTGCTTCCATCTCTTAGCTATTATGAAAAGAGCTGCAAAAAACATGGATGTATAAGTGTCTCTGCAATAGGATGAGTTCTTTGGGTATATGACAAGGAGTGGTATAACTGGGTCAAATGGTGGGTTCATGTGTAGTTTTTTAAGAGTTCTCCACACTGCTTTCCATAGGGGTTGAGCAAGTTTGCAGCCCCACCAGCAGTGGATGAGTGTTCCCCTTTCCCCACATCCTCTCCAACATTTGGTATCATTTGTTCTCTTGTTTATCCAGTCTGACTGGGGTAAGGTGAAATCTTAAAGTGGTTTCATTTGCATTTCCCTAATTATTAGTGATGTTGAACATCTTTTAAGATGCTTCATAGCCATCTTTACTTCTTCTTTTGAGAACTCTTTGTTCAGACCTTTAGTCCATCTTTTAATTGGGTTGCTTCTTGTCCTGGTTCTCTGTTTTTTGAGTTTGTTATACTTCTGGTTATTAAACCTCTGTCTGATGTCTTTCTGGTGAAGATTTTCTCCCATTCTGTGGGTTTTCTGTTTGCTTTCTTGGTTGCCTCCTTTGATCTACACAAGCTTTTTAGTTTAATGAGGTCCCTCTTGTTAATTCTTGCCCTTGTTTCCTGAGTAATAGATGTCTGGTTTAGGAAATCCTTTCCTATACCTATATCTTGTAGGTTTTTCCCAATGTTTTTTCTAATAGTTTCAGAGTTTCATGCTTTACATTGAGGTCTTTGAGCCATTTGGAACTGACTTTTGTGCAGGGTGAAAGATAGGGATTTAGTTTCATTCTTCTATAAGTGGAGATCCAGTTTTGCCAGCACCATTTGCTGAACATGCTGTCTTTCCTCCAGCGAATATTCCTGGTCCCTTTGTCAAATATCAGGGGGCTGAAATTGCATTTACTCATATTTGGATCTTCAATTTTGTTCTATTAATCTATGGGTCTATTATTGTGCCAGTACCACGTTGTTTTTATGACTATATCTCTGTAATACAGTTTAAAATATGGTATAGTAATGCCCCCAGCATTGATCTTAGTTCTCAGGGTTGTTTTGGCTATCCAAGATCTTTTGTGCTTCCATATGAATCTTAAGAGTTTTTTCCAATTCTGTGAAAAATGTCATGGGGATTTTGATTGGCATTGCATTGAATATATAAATGACTTTTGGTAGGATGGTCATTTTCACAATATTAATTCTTCTAATCCATGAGCATGGGAGGTCCTTCCATCTTCTGATGTCTTCCTCAATTTCTTTCTTTAAAGAGTTAAAATTTTCCTTGTAGAGCTCTTTAATGTCTTTGGTCAGGTTTATTCTAAGATTTTTTATTTTTTTGCAGCTATTTTGAATGGGAGTGTTTCCATGTGCTGTTTCTCTGATTGCTTGTTATTGGTATATAGAAAGGCTACAGACTTTCATAGGTTAATTTTGTAACCTGCCACTTTACTGAACATGTTAATAATTTCTAGGAGTTTTTGGTGGAATTTTTGGTATCTAGTAGCTATTAATATCATATCATCTGCAAAAAGGGATAATTTGATCTCTTCTTTTCCAATTATTACTCCTTTAATTTCCTTCTCTTGTCTTATTGCTCTTGCAAGAGTTTCAAGTACTATGTTGAAGAGAAGTGGAGATAGTGGACAGCCTTGTCTGGTTCCTGATTTCAATGGGAATGCTTCCAGTTTTTCTCCATTTAGAATAATGTTGGTTGTGGGTTTGTTATATATGTTTTTAATTATGTTGAGATATGTTCCCTCCAGTCCAATTCCCTCTAGGACTTTGAACATAAATGCATGTTGAATTTT